TTTCTGAGGAATTTATTACTCCTCCCTTCTCTCCCCCCGATTATGACTTCTGGCTTCCATCAGCCAAGCTTACCTTGGTGTGGTTTGGATTCAATAGCTACTTAGTTCTATGCTGGTAGCAAGGAGTTCATATGGAGATGATTTTTAATACCCAGCAGATTGTCTTTCTTTATATTGTATCTTTTTTATGTTGCATGTTGCTTTTGGTATCAGCCTGACTCTTTGCCCAGTATATGACAGTTCTGCTGATGTTTTATTGTTTATTGGTGAACATATCTTCATTAAGAGTTTTTGGAAAACTCATCAAACTCAATAAGTTTTCTTCATAACCCATTTGGAATTATTCCTAATAAAATGATAAAATATAAAAAGAAATAGATACAGAGGCAGAGCATCATGGAACAGACTGTCAAACTGCAGCGGGAAGGCTGGGGAGGGTTGGGGGAGCAGGGGATAAGAGATCAACCGAAGGACTTGTATGCATGCATATAAGCATAACCAATGGACACAAGGCACTGGGGCATAGGGGAGGCCGGGGGAAGGTCAAGGGGGAAAAAAAGGAGACATATGTACTACTCTTTGTAATACTTGAAGCAATAAAACAAAATTAAAAAGAAAAAGGGCCAGTCAGAAATTAAACATACACTAACTGAAATAAAGAATTTACAGGGATTCAATAGTAGCATAGAGGATTCCAGAATCAAATTAATGATTTGGAATATGAGAAAGCAAAAAACACCCAATTAGAAGAGCGAAAAGCAAAACAAATCCAAAAATATGAAGATAGTGTAAGGCAGGGGATAAGAGATCAACCGAAGGACTTGTATGCATGCATATAAGCATAACCAATGGACACAAGGCACTGGGGCATAGGGGAGGCCGGGGGAAGGTCAAGGGGGAAAAAAAGGAGACATATGTACTACTCTTTGTAATACTTGAAGCAATAAAACAAAATTAAAAAGAAAAAGGGCCAGTCAGAAATTAAACATACACTAACTGAAATAAAGAATTTACAGGGATTCAATAGTAGCATAGAGGATTCCAGAATCAAATTAATGATTTGGAATATGAGAAAGCAAAAAACACCCCGTCAGAAGAGCAAAAGAAAAAAGAATCCAAAAATATGAA